TTCTAGATAGAATCATGCAGATTTTGCCCGCTACAAAAAGTGTTTGAGACTTCCGTTCTAGAGCAGGGCTCCCCAACCTTGGCAGCTTTAAGATTCGTGGACTTCAACTCCCAGAATTCCTCAGCCAGTTGCCAAGATTGGAGACCCCTGTTCTAGAGCTCCCTTCAAGAACAGAGAAACAGAGAAACATCTCCTATTGGATGGCTGAGGAAGAAGGTTGACTGTTAAATATACAATGCCGGCTGGCGGCGCCTAGGAGTAGGGCCTTCTCTGTTGCCACTCCGGCCATATGGAATGAGCTGCCCACAGAGATCCGGGCCCTCCCCACCCTCATGGCCTTCCGCAAAGCCATTAAAACCTGGCTTTTCCGGCAGGCCTTCTGATTGGGTGTTTTTTTAACTTTGTGTGTCCTATTGTTTTTAAGTTCCTTTAATTTGTTTTCATTTCTGTAAGCCGCCCGGAGTCCTTCGGGATTGGGCGGCATAGAAATCAAATAAATTCAATTCAGTTCAATTCAATACTCACAGAGGGTGACACTGCCCCCTTCTGAAGGGAGAGGAAGTACCAGGCCCACTGTCTTTTCCCCAAGCAGACCTAAGATTTAGCATCTGTAGAACCTCTGCACGCATGTTCTGGTGATTCCTTGTAATATTTAGAAGCTGACCGATTGCCATAGTTCAAGCTTGATGGACTCTATTCCATGTTCCTCTCTTGGTAGCACTAGAGCATGTGGTGATCATTAGCCATGCTGTTTCAAAGGTGGGGACCTACAACTTTTTGATTCAGGTCGGGTGTTTCTACATGCCAAATTGGATAAAGTCTTGTTGGTGTAGCATGCAAGTGTGTTTTCCACTTGGTGTAAAAGCAGCCCACCGTGGCATGTTTTCTGCGGTGACTCATTTTTTAAAAAGATGATTTGAAACAAGGTGGGGTAGGATGTTATTAATCGGTCCTTGCTTGTTAGCACTGAAATGGCTAAAGAAAAAAATATTGGTTTTTTTTTAGGAAGAAAGGCCATTTAACACAAATACACAGGAGATGCTGAATAGTATTAATCTATATGTACTTATTCTATCACAATAGCTAGTTGGCCTAGTCCAGTGTTTCTCAACCTTGGCCACTTGAAGATGTCCGGACTTCAACTCCCAGAATTCCCCAGCCAGCGAATGCTGGCTGGGGAATTCTGG